GAAGAAAAAAAAGTACGACAACGCCGAGCACCTCTCTCTGTGCACTGATAACGCAAAGGGCGGGGGGAGGGGGGGCAAGCAAAAGCAGTGGGTTAATGGAACGCCACAGAGTCTCGCCTCGGCGTGTAATATCAAAGCGCCGCATCAGCGAGGCCCTTCTCCCTCCCTCTGTTTTCCAGTTCGCGCGCTCCCGCTTTGACCTATTATGGTTATAGGGCGCGCCACCCTATACACGTGTGCCCCGGTGTTTCGCGAGCGCGATCATCGTTAAAACTTTTCTCCCTCTTCCCTCTCGCGTTGTTGCGCCTCTGTTTGTCCAGCTCTTCTCGACCATCGTATACTTTGCTCCTTCTTTCCGCTCTCCACTCAGTAAATGGCGATTTTCTTTGATCGATCACGCGTCCGACCGGTTTCGACCTTATCTACTTATGCCGGAGATGCGAGTGGTGCCGAATGTAAAACATCCCAACGACTCATCCTCGATATCCACTCGAGAGACGAGCTCCTAGAGGATTTCGAATAAAAGTTGCAAAAACCCGGCGAGGGGAAGGCGCCGGCAAATGAAATTGGGGCATCAAAGCCATATCCCCTCGAAACTACATTTTCGGGGGCTGGAAATGGAAAAATGAATTTAAAGTTTCAACGGAGCAATTGCCCTGAAATCCGCGCGGGCGTTGATCAAATTTCTCTCCCATCCAAATTTATACGTATACATCGTACGGCATTACATATACATATATGCTTTAGCGCCAAGTATATGTATATGCAAAAATGTCAAAGAGCACGATTGATCGGAACGCCGGGGGTATTACACGGATCCACCTGCAGCGAGCCTATTTGTTCGACTGAAAAATTCACCAGCCCGAAGCACAAACACACACACACACACACGTGGAAGAGAGCTCAAGAGTCAGGCAGGCGCTTGATTAGCCACTTCATAATTCAAGCCTCGGCGCATCTCCCAATTGAATTTTCCACGTCCCGATGTACGTATATGTATACATGTATGTATGTATAGTCCGCAGCTACCTCACAAAAGCCCCTGCTGCGATAAACTTGCGCTTGAATAGGGAGAGGAGGGGGGAAAAAAGGGGGTGATCGAGAGCGACGCTCGAGAGGCACGACGAGTATTGAAAGGCAGTCGCGGCAGCGAAGACGATCGAGAGGGGAGCTCCAGTCTGTTGTGTATAACTCGTTTATCTCGTTGTATTCAACAGTTTGCGGCTCGATCGCCCGAGCCCTAGCACCCCCCCCCCCCTTGCTCCCGTGCTCCGGCTCGGCAGCCCATACAGTCGACTCTTGTATATACACATCGAGAGGCAGCTGATGCTGTCGCTGTTTTGCGGTTCGGGAGCTGTTTAAAGGGAAAATGAAGCAGGGCTTCTCTCTTACGGGTGGAGAGGGGTGCTTGTCACATGGCTCCGCGGAGTTAATGGGCACTGACATAATAGTACACGCGTGATTGAGTTCAGCGCGGGGTTTTTGTTTTTCCTCGGATGATCGATGATTGCCGGTTCGTTTGCGATGGGAATTGGCACACGCGCGCTACGCCGTACTTCGAACTGCTGTACGTAGAATATGATTCGTTGTTTGATTGCCAAACAAATGTTTTTATTATGAACAATCAACTGCGTGACAAAGTTTATATACAAACAGCTACACGAGCGCACCTCCTGTTGGATGTTTTAATTGAAACTTTTTTTTTTCCCCCCCCCAACCCTGTGCACACACACAGCGTCGCATTATAGGAGCGTTTAATTAAGCTTTAAAATAAAAATGACGACCGCACGCGTGGGATGTTCTCGTGAAACGGCCTCCCCCCCTACCCCCACTTTTTGCAACGAGATATTATGTGCAGCTACAAAGTTTTCCGTTTTCCGCCATTTGTGACGTTTGTATGTCTTGTCAACTCGTTTTTGCCTATGTACACGTGAATATTTGAATAACAGATAATAATAATAATAATTATTATTATCATCATAATGGTTGCAGCTGAGTGGGAATTAAGTTACGTACCGACAATAAAACTCGTCGTGCACGGTAAAAACACCGATTTCACCCCCTATACACTGTGGTATATACATACACATATATACTACTCACCTATACCGTTTTTTTGCAATCATTTTCCATTAACTCGCCAAGAGGGGGGGGGGTTACTTACACACCTGCAGTGGCGTCGACAGCCATACACCACGGTATATTTACAGCCAAAGTTTCAGCAGCTTGTTACGCGTGTATATGTACAACGGGGGGTATATATTTATAAGGTACAGGGTAAGTATGCGCGACAGCACACCTGCAGCATGACGAAAAACCCAATGAATTATTCGAGCCACGTGTAACTTTGTCCTATACCGAGAGTTGAGACACTCGCACGTGCGCGTATATAAACTATACTGTGTACTGTATGTATATACAGCTTACCCATCGTTGTCGTTTTTCCCTCCGTCTATTTTTTCATTTTCGAGCGTTACAGTAAATCCCCCAAAATGTATTTTCAATGCAATCGCTTGCACCAAAAAAAAAAGCTCTCCGTTTGGAATGTGGTTAAACGAAAAACTATAGCGTTGGCCCAATCGCAGCCCTCGAGCGTAAACTTGCAGGTACGTATATATACTCGGAGCATGTGAATTTAGGATAGTTTTGAGGGTCGAACTACACGTTGATTCATCCGTTGTTGGCGGGAGCCGTCAACAGGAGCTCCATCCGATGCGACAACGACGGAGGGGACCGGAAAAAGTGCAACGCAAAAACAATGCACGTACGCGGAGATAGAGGGTACAATTGGAATTCCCGGGGAGCATCGGAGCGTCGAGCAGATCGACGAATTTCCGCGGATAATGTATATATATATGCGGTCACCCCTGCAGCAGAGGCAGCTCCCCTTTGTACAATACACCGTATACGAGCCGTGCAACACACAAACCCTCAGGTGACTCGGACACGGATACCCCCCCCCCCCACCACGAAGCTCCCCTGAGCCCAAGAGAGCGCGATACACACGAGGAAAGCTCTCTGTCTGCATGCATACGATGGGTATACAACCTGCCGGTGTGTCCCGTGAGCGCGCGCCGCAGGTGTATGGTATTTAGTATCAGGGCGGAGGATAGTACAAGCGGACGATAAGCATCGGTCGGAATAAAACACGGAAAGCGAAAGGCTGGCAGGATCAAAGGGGGATAGAGGGAGAGAGAGAGAGAGAGGACGAGGTGGGGAAAAGTGCACGCCGAAGCTGACGTGCATGTAGCAGCAGTAGCAGGGCAAGCAGGCGGCCGGAGGTGGCTCGATACGCGCGGGCGCGGAAGCTCGTGCAGGGGGCGCGGGCCTCCCCCTCGCGGGACTCGAGCCGCGCTTCTCGGACAGTGCCGTCAGAGCTCTCGCGTGGGACGCCGGTGATTTTCGGTGAGCACCCGTCGCCTGCTTACGCCTCGTCTCGTGCTACTGCAATCCAATTCTCGACCTACCCCCCCCCCCATCCCCCTACCCTCGTATTTGTATATACTTTTAAATTTATTTATTTTTTTTTTTTTTTAATTCCCCCAACTACCCGCGCAGTTTAAAAAAAAAAAAAAAAAAAAAAAAACAAAACAAAACAAGTGGATTAAGTATCGCACGGGGCCAAAGAGTCATCGGGTCGTCGGCGCCGATTTGACCCCGTGGGCGCTATGGGGGTCACGCGCGGGCGCACTCCTGGTGAACTCTGATGGGACATGGATTATTGCCCCGTACGCGGGTAATACTTTACCCACCCATCAAGCAGTGTAACAATATAATAGGGTGGTTTTTTCGTTTTTTCCGCGATCGATGCCTCCGTTAATTTTTCATTACGCTTACCCTTGTACCTTATAGACGCGTGAGTTGTCCGAAAATGGCAGTTTACTCGGATCACTTTTGCGTAAAATCAAACCTTTTGCGAGTCTATCGTTTACGATGCGAAAGTATCACGTCGGTATTATAATATGGCAGCAAAGAGAGGGTCGGCGGATCGATGCATGGGGGGGGGGGTAAGAGGAATAGGTGCCTATAGGCAGCGTGCGTGCATAGCGGGGCGACGGTAACGGGGACAAAGAAATTGATTTGGAGAAAACGAATACGTGAACGATGATTCCGAAAAAAATACCTCCCCTCCCTCCCTGCCACCAGTGTTTTTTTTCCTTTACGAGGAGCACGTGACAAGACGCGGCTGGACGTGTGGTTGTTTTTTTTTTTTACAGGGATAAGCCGGCTCCGGAATACAACAGAGTCCACGATGCGTATACGTCCGTTACGCGAGTGTCCGATTTCGGAGCCAAACGTGTAATATGTAACGAAAAGCTGTGCCGCTGACGTCACGGAAGAAAAATAAGAAGACTGGAATAATAACACGAAAAGAAAAGTGCGCGCGTGTGGTGACTTGCGTAATTAATGTATAAGAAGAGGAGGTGCATACATTTACATCGACGTAGATACGGAATATAATATGCACATCCCCACCGAAGCTAAACTGTGAACTGCAGCTGTTGTTGTTGTTGTTGTTGTTGTTGTTGTTGTTGTTGTTAACTGTTGTAGTTGTTGTTATTAATGACTCCGTGGAAGCCGAGAGACACCATAGGGTCCCATTTGGAGGGCCCATCGAGAAACGCTCATCCGATGACTGTGACACTCCCGTAGCTTACGCCCGCATCCCGTAATTTAACACAAGTAATAATAATAATAATTACGCATCGTGTACCAGCACATGGCTACAAAGATATATAGCATAACTAGTGAGAGATGGTACGCTTCGAGGCTAGATCGGCGCTGAAGGAGTAGCAGTAAAATATCTTGGATCGCGCGACGGGAGTCCGGAGGGGCAAGTATGACCGTTCGGTGTCCGTGGGGGAGTCGGGGGGACGGGGGTGCGCGAATGACACGCGGCAGCCCGCGGCATGGAGCCGCCACGTGAAGCAGCAGGTCGGGGCGCCGGGAGCGTCGATAGGAATGAGCAACCGCCAGCGGGGGACGGGGCCACCTGACCAATGACCTCGCGGAGAGCCGGCGGGCCCGAGGCTCCATCGCCGCCGCAGCAACCGCGCCACCGCGAGCTGGCCCAACGGGCCGTCGGTCTCACCGGCAGCCTCCAGAACCTCTCGCAGGAGGGGCCACTCGTGCCCCCACCCGTGCCGCCCCGCACGCCCCAGGTGAGGCAGCCCCGCGGCCGAGCCCGCCCCCAGCCCCCGAGGCCCCTGCCACCGCTACCCGCGAGGCCCACCACCGCCACCAGGGTTCCCGAGCCCGCGCCACGCGCCAACCTACCACCCGTCATCGCACTCGCACCCCAACCACCGCTCGGAGCCAGCAGTGGTAGCAGCAGCAGCAGCATCAGCGATGGGGAGGGCAATGGAGAGGCCTCGTCGATGTTCGCGAAGTGCGGGCCGAGGGCCGCCTCGCGCGACGAACCGGAAGAGCCTCCTCCTTCTACTCTGGTGGAGGGGAGGGAGGTGCCCGGACCCGGGACGAGCGGGACGAGGTTGCGGCCCCCGTTGGTGGGCACAGCGGGGTTGTCGGCCGACTCGGGGACCGGGGACTCGGGTAGCGCGGAGATGCAGCCCGAGCAGCGGCATCCGGGCGCCGGGGAGGACGAGGACGAGGAGGAGGAGGAGGGCGAGGTGGACGAGGAGGGGGCCGACGACGAGCTGGCCGACGATTTGGACGAGCTGCGGGGCTTGAAGGGCCAAAGGCAGCAGCAGGGCGGCTCGGGCGTGCAGGGGACAGGGGGTGGGTTCGGGGTGTCGCGGCAGCCCCTGGCCAAGGGTGCCAAGCAGCAAGTGAAGCCCTTTACGAAGGACAGCCTCGACAGGCTCGAGAACAAGCACGTGCAGCTGGTGAGGGACTACGGGTTCCAGCCGAAGCGCAAGACCTCCGTCGAGGACGGGGGTGTGCTGCCCAACAAGTTCGAGCCCTTTCCCTCGAATCTCTACGGCAGGCCCCTCGAGGAGATCGACAGCTTCATCTACGACGAGGTGGGTAACTGCTTAATGACCTGAAAGCAAACGCATATTGTAAGGCGATGGATTATTTAATCATCCCACCCGTAAAATTGTAATTCGATGATTTTCGAAAACTCGACTTTTCAAGCACAAAAATTACTCTTAATCAATTGAATCACCAACAATGGAAAAGTAACCACTTTTGTGCTTGTAAAAATGATTTAAAAAATATACTCCCGTAACGAGATCGCCCCCCGGAGCCGTGTTTATCAATAAAAGTGTAAAACACTTCATCAAAAGCCAACTCGGCATCGAACAAACGAAAGAAAAAAAGAAAAAAAAGCACACTTCTGGCATTGGCAACTGAATAAAGTCACTCCGCTGTTTTCGCATCGGAAGCCGAGTGGTGGAGGGACGACGACTACCACGTTTCGAACTAGTGTTTCCATAAATTAGCATAAGTATACTATACGTAATGAAAAAAAAAAAAACTCTCTCTTGCGCGCGCCGTGGCTTTCGCGAGCAAAGTGTACACTGCTAATAATTCACGGGGCCTCTGAAAGAAAGGTCCCGATAACCCACATACAAGGCGGGGTACAACCACCCACCCTCCACCAGAACACAGCAGCTCTACCGTTACATTATATACATAGGGGGTACAAAACGCTCATTGTCCGGGTTAACTTTGTTTCGTCGTACGGACACACTTGAACGCACACCCATATACACTCACTCGTGCACGTAGGATGATCGAATGGGTAAATACAGCGACAGCAACAACCCGCTCCCCGTACCGCGATTACGCGCGCAACGTAGCTTCCGTCGAACACAAACCGGACAAGCCCCCGTCCCACCCTCGGAGCGTGCACGTATCGGTATATACACATCATACTAGTATTGTACAGCCAGATTTCGTCGGGACCACGCAGCCTTCACCCGTCGCGTGCGTCCAATCACGCACAAAAACGCACACCCGCGGGAAGATAGCGGGAACACTGGACGTCCGTATATACACACGACTCTGCTCGGACGCTCTGCATGCAGACACGAGATATAACGCGTGTGTATCGGCTGACAATTTCGCAGGACCCTCCCTCGATCGGTTCTGTATTACCGGGTATTGGGGACACACACCCCACGCACCGAACCCCACTGACGTTGATTGATGTACTTTTAATCGGACGGGGGGGAAATTAAGCTCGAGTTTATTTTTGCCCTTTATACCCTATTACTACGATTCATCGTATACATAGGTACACATACGCCTAATAATAATATATACGTATAGCTGGTAGGGTGCGTGTGTACGATTTTAAATGACAAACCCTATATACCCCACCCCCTCGGATTAACCTTGCCCCGATTGTTTTAAGCTCGATGTTTATATACGCTTTTGTATATGTACGCATGTACATGAAATCGATCGCGCATCGACGCAGTTAACGCACTTTTTTTTTTTTTTTTTTTGCAATTAAATTAGCTACGATTCCAGAGTAGCGAGCAACAAACGCGCACCCGAGCGATTATGTACTCAAAATTACATTTCCCGAGCCGGGCGTCCGTGGAAAATTAAGAACCAGCCGAGCGCGAAGGGAAGGAGGAAACGAGACTTGTTTTTCGGGGGAGGAGAAAAGAAAAAAGGGGCGCGCGGAAATTAGATCCCGCGGGCTTTGGAACAAACGAAAGCGCGACTTTGCCATTCGCGGAGTAAATACGCGCTTCCTCTTTCCGCCCGGCTTTTCGAGCCAGTCTTTGACCCTACACGTATGTAGGTGAACCGTGTTGGACCGTAAGCTGCGTTTGCAAGAACAAAATCGAGCACGAAACGCAGCTTGGCCCCGACTCTTTGATGTTTATGTTGCGCCGGTATACGTATTATACGCTCGCTTCGTGCAAGTTGGTTTTCTCTCCGGTGTATACGTACTTACTCCGTGCGTGGGAGCTTAGTTGTGCGCTGTACTTCTTGGTGTCGGTCCCCTCTGCCCCGTAAATACGGACTATTGTTTTTTGCGCAGGGCTCATTTATATGCAGGAAATTACCTTGTCCCGGCCGGTCGATTCATTGGTTCGTTGCGACCGTAGCCGAGCAAAGGTTCCATTTGAGGCGGGCTCCTCGTCGCTGTCTCGTGAAACTCAATCGTCGAGTACTTGAGGTAGAAAATCCGTCGTCACTACCCCAGCAAACTTTTCTTGAATTTCAAGTATGTTGTACATGAAATTATTTCATGTTATCAAACATTTTTTTGAGTTTGGCTATCGGGACTAGTTTTTGACATTTTTAAGTTCAAAGTGCCTTTTTTTTTTACATAGGTTAAATGGGTTATATCAATAACAGGTTTGAAACCAAACTATTTTTATAAAAAATACTGTACAAATCTTGGAAAATTTCATACTTTATTTTGGTCCTTTCAAATAATGGTGTGTCGGCACGAAATAAAAACCAGTTTATTGATTAATATTTTTCCCAATACAAAAGCATGCGTCTGTAACCTATGAGACTGTCACAATACGGTAAATGACGCGCTTCACTCGCTCTACGGATTTTCTACCTTAATAATCAATTTCTCATGAACGCGGTTAAAAGAGTACGATGAGCCTTGTTCGTTAGCGGAGCAAGTATCGTTTCCGCGGGGCGGAGCGGGCATCGATAAACTCGAAAGTCGGATGCTTAGCGCCCAAACTTTGTTTGGCCACCCCCCGATTTTGCACGAATCGCACCGCTCGTGGGAATCTCGAAGTTTGCACTCGACCGCTTTCCGTAAGCCCGCCCCCTCGACCGGTGCTCCTCGTGGTGTGATTTTGAAGTGGACCCATCATTTTTTCATATCCTAAATTTCGGTATGAATTGAATGGTCAGAAAATGGCATATCGACTATTTTTCACTCAACAATTGAACGAGTCCGAAGCAGTGGATACAATTTCCGCGCAATCGCAAGTACACATAAACTGTAAGGATATACTCACTCTTTCTTTTCCAAGTTTTTTGTTTTGAGCACTAACACCGAGGAACATACGGAGATACGCGCTGCGCTCCCAACTCATTGAAGAAACAATCGATAACTTTGAAGGAGAAACTTTCTTGGTATAGCGGATCTCGTACTTTTTTCCCCCAGCAGCTGTGCTCAAACATCGAAAAAGTGCAATAACGTTTGCAAGGCACTCCTGGAATAATTTTTTTTTATGCGCGTACGCGAGATCTCGTCAATTTTTATGAATATCGCGCGTGTCGAAAAACTGCGGTACAATCAATCGGTGGCTTTCTGAATCGTCTTTTCCACAACCTAATACCCACCCCATATACTATGCAGTCGGTCGAACAATTCGGTAATAACCAGCCAAACGGTCCGGTCACACTCGGAATCCGAAATTCGTCGTTTCATTTGAATTCCGGGCTTGAACCCGATGGCGCAATCTGGCGCCGCAACTTTGCCGAACAATCGCCGAGTTTCGTGTGCCCGGCACCTTCACACCCCCCCAGGTATGCACCTCCTTTGCTCGATTCCATTAGGGCGATTCCTTCGTCCACCCCCCAAGTGGTGGTGGTACTGATCGGACAAGCCCCGACTACGTGTATTATTCCCGCGCTTCCTTTCGTGCACACGGAGAATAAAGCTTCTTCCCCCCCTCCCCCCGCGTGTGAATTTACGGTGGGTTTTTCGTACAATATGTGCCGCGGGAGCCGGCTATTTTAGCGGTTGCGCGCCATTTCGGGGCTGTAATTCAATGGGGCTTTCTTCATTACGGTGACTTGAAATTGCAAAGGGGGTTTGTTTTTGCGTCAGAGCCCAATGAGGTTGAGCTGGGAAGAAAAAGGCAGACAGGGTTTTCGCTTGTCGGCGAGAAATAGATATTTTGGTATTGCAACAGATGGAGTATTTTTTTCCAAAGTTACTCATAGCAGTTAACGCGACGTTCTCGATGAGCAAGATAAATTTTTACATTGAGTTTGAGGATTATTTTTATATATATATTTCGATGTAGGTATCTGTATAAAAATATCGTCGAGGAGGTATGTACTCTCTCGAGTACTTCTCGTAACCATTTTACGAGTAAAAAGACCCGTGGACAGGATAATAAGAGCAAATTAGTAGCCAGTGACTGCAGAGGGGGGGAGGAGTAAAAGGAGGTGGAACGACCACGTGAGCCGCAACGTCAATAACGCGTCGGGGACATCGACGTATATCCGCTAGCCCGTTGGCTTTCCTAATTACATATAGGGGGGTAGTGAAAGGTAATTAGCGCTGCTGATGCTGCTCTTCACTGGATTAACGATTTTCTTCTTTTTTTTTTCCAACGATTTCGAGATTTTTCAACTCAATTTTTTATTCTTGGTAATCTTTGAATTTCGAGTATCCGGTTTGTTTTTTTTTTTTTTTTTCTTTTAAATGAACCGCTATCAATTTGAATCGATTTTTCATTAATGAGGAAGATACTTTAATACTGATTCGAAGTAACTTACGTCGGTCTAATTTGATCAAGGAAAATGTATGCAGGATGTTTCATGAAAGTTCAATCCAACGTTCATTATTTCAATTAAAACTTGAATTTAAAAAAGAAAAAGAAACCGTGGGTATACCTACTCTATTAATAAACGTTCGTAAAATGTGTATAAATGTAACGAGGGAGAGAGAACGAGTATATAACCTTTATCAGGTGCACGGCGGTTGAGCATACAAATGAATATACATTTTTCAGCTGAAACCCTTGGTCGCTGTGGAATGTTTCAGGAATTTCAATAGCCCGCGCAGCTCCACAGGGGGGGAATCAAAAAAAGTCGACGACACTCTGCGCCGCGAAGGAATTCTTTCTCCTTTTCATTGTCGAATTTCTTCATTGTTTCGCCGAAAAAGAGCTCGAATGATAAATTTTTCGTCCCCCGCGTGGAATGTATAATCCATTGCGAACAACGACGCTAATTTTACCACACTTTCGCGAACGAAATGCACGTTTGGTGACCAACAAATGACCATTGGAGTGCCCAAGTTTACGAAAGTGGTACAGTTGAAATTACTTTTTTTTTTTTTTTCAATGACAATAATAAAAAACCATTTCTCCCA